GAAATGGGAAGGTAATTTCTACCTTGTATCATGGCCAACGTTTAGGGCCACTTTCAGTACCGTAGCAAGCTCGATAATTGGGGGAGGCCCATATTCATATATTCGTGTTCTGCATTATTAATTTCTTTTGAAATTGATTGTTTTTATGGACTGTGAATGTGAATATATGAATATGAGCCCGCCCCCGCCCCCCCCCCACCCAATTATCGAACTTGCTACGGCACTGGCTTTTGATTGTTATACAGTACCATTAAGTCTGATAATTGCACCTCCAATGGTTCTGGTATCTCTTGTTTTTTCCCATCATCATTTCTGTACTCAACTTTACAACATATAATATATTCTTGTTTATTCCAGAATTATCTTACAATTGGGACACCATTTATCACACAATTGGGAATTTGTCCTGACTCACCCTGGTTTCCCAATTAAGCCCTAGAGTGACAGCACTCTCCTTTGGTGAGTAAATTGTCTGGTGTTAGACAGAGTAAAATAATAATGTAGGGCATATCAGGGTGCATTGCCACTTAAAGGGTTAATCTTGATCTGGGTGGCAAAATACTGCAGTACCAAGCAAGATGTATGGAAATTGAAGACACAAAAGCTGGATTAATTTTGAACCATTTTAATTGGACTTCTTCAATGGAATTGTTAACGGTGAATAATTTTAAATTAATTTAAAACTAAAATGTATTATAATTACAGTTAGTGTACATGATGTAGTGGAGCATGTCTATTATATTAACTTAATAAAGCTTTATACTTTCATATGTTATCTGCATGGTGGGGGGTGGGTGGTTGTGCAGAAAAATTCGGGGTGGAAGGTGAGTGAGGGGCACGTAGCCACAGAATAAGGCACACAGAAGGTTGACTCGAGTAACCACTGCCACGCCATGATTCATCATCAAAATGCTGACGCCATGGTCCTAGCCAGTACGCGTTTAAGAGGCATTCCCCCCTGGACGTTCGCCATTTTGAATAATATCAGGGGAGTGAATGCCTCTCAAATGCGCACTGGCTAGGACCATGACTTCAGCATTTGATGACGAATTACGGGTTACGCCAAAAGCATAGGAAAACCCAAGAAGTCGGCCTTCTGTGTACCTTATTCTGTGATGTAGCATCCTGACGAAGATTAACCAAAACACAATATACCAGACAAATATAAAAATATTATGTCATTTGTAATACAATGTGATTAATTGGATTGATCATGTATTGCATATGCACATCAGCCTTTACACATGTAAAAAGAATGTATTTGTTTTATATGTTCGCACAAGACCCTTTTCTTTTCACAGTTAGGAAATATGACTGCCAGTATCAGTAACAACATCCTCTTGTTTAAGTCTCAACCCATCTGTTTTGATGCATATATTCTTTAAAGAGCCCTGAAGATCTCCAGGAACAAATGTGCTAACATCACCTGCACATTCAAACATTGGACGTTTGAAGTGACTTATTAAAAATACAAGTTCCAATCTTGAACAACTTTCCTGCATTTAGTTCTTGGTAATCCCGGACTCTTAGAATCTGGTGTTAGGTCGTGTTTGGCGTCAAATGGCAGTAATTTTCTCGCTTTAGGAGTGCTGGTCTTAGGACATTCATCTGAATTTATGGAATTGAAGTCTATAGTTGAACAGTTCAGAACGACAAAAATTACAACTTGAAACAAGGCAACATGGCGCTAATCAGCCGAGCGTATAATGAATTCCAGGTTCTTAATTTCTTTAGTATACGCAAATTTATGCAACGGCTCAAAGGGTCAACAGATTCAAGACATTCAAGTGGTAGAATGTATTATATTATCTTTTAGACTCATCATCTAAGTTCATCAGAGTCCGCCATTTTGAAGTACTCCAGACTTGACCAATTGAAGGCCGATATACTTGATAAAAATACGCACTGTGCAGAGACTACATCATAAAATGATCGACTTTTGTATACCAATGTCAAAAAATCCAAACTTGAAGCTTAAAATATTAGTTTGCAAGAAAAACACTTTCTTACAAGAAAAATCAAAGTAATCTGCCAGTCGCAAAATTTTCTTCTTTCGCCCTTCCCGTGAGCCTCTACGCGCCCACTTCTAGCCGCGCGCCCGCTTTAAAGCGACTGGGGACGAGTCTGATCATAATCGGAAAGGATTCGCTGACCACTCGGGTTGAATCGGTCGTCTTCGGGCGTTACGGGGCAGCAGTCAAGTTACTAAAACCGCATGTCTTTCAGAGATATTTCCCTCCAGGTCAGCCTAGTCCCAGGCTCTCTCTATTCGCTGCTTTGATATATTTAAAGAAGTCTTAAAAGTTTTATGCCTGGGTGTGCTGTGCGGAAAGCACCTTGAGCGGTGACGTCACACCTAGGTCCCAGTTTCGTACTACATCCACTTTTTTTCTCGTGCTTGCTTCAGAACGACTGGGACTAGGCTGCCTCCAGGTAAATTATTCGCAGTTACAATTGTTCCAGCATGAAACTCACTTCCATTGAAGTTAAAACAGATACAGGACACTAATGTTTTTAGGAAAAACCCAACCATAACCCTTACCATAATCCAAATCCTAAACTTTTGTGAAACCACAACCCTAATCCATATTGTAATCTTAACCCTTCTCACGTCATAGTGGAATAATCCTTGTGACGTTGCTCTATTTTGATATACTATTACATGGAAATATCGCTTCCACGAAATGACGTAATATATCTGAGTACAAGAAATGCCATATTTTGAACTTTTCAAGCTATATACACGCATTAAAATGATTAAGATGTAACTTCTATATTCATAATAATAACAACGGATATGTGCAAGTGTTATTTCTGTGAAATATGTCAACATATTTTGAAAATTGCGTAATTCCTAGACAGAAAGCTGATTCCTGGCAGATCACGGGTTTTATCACGAGATGTTTCGCAATATATTCAGATAGAAAGGAATTGTTTTACACTATACGACAGAGCTGAACTGACGGAGTTGATGTAAAATTTCAAGTAAGTTTGTTCATATTTTTACATTACGTTCCCACGAGAGCTGACGGGTTCGCAACTACGTACTGGGCGCAAATTAGTCGGATTTCATTTGTTCACACGGGGATTCGTGTGGTTAGCTGTGATCAAATTGTCTGGTTTCAAACCTCGCGTGTAAACACAAAACGAGATTGTTCAAATATGACGGCTATGGTACAGAACTCATCCTGTCTGACATTCAAATTTTTGCGATTTCGTCTAGCGCGCATTCAGGGAACGCAAGAAACCAGATGTATTAGAACACAGCTGTAGTGTAGGAATTCCCGTGTGGACAAATGAAGGCGAACAATTGATGTGATATAATCTTGAACTGTCTGTGTCAGTGTAGGTAGTGTCGATAATGTGAACAAGCTTTCGTTGCTAGGGATGCAACTATCTGAAAATATAAGGAGAATTTCGACGTTTCAAGTGAAGGCCCTTCGTCTGATTTAATACTGAGACGAAGGGCCTTCGCTCGAAGCGTCGAAATTCTCCTTATATTTTCAGATAGTTGCATCCCTACCAACGAAGGCTTTCCAAATTCACTTGATCTCGCGTGATCAGGGTCTCCTGCGCAAATATTTCTATTACATGTAATAGTGTAAGTTCTCAGCACGCCCTAGTGACTTGCTTGGAGTGATAGTCAGTACACTCTGGCATTATAGAATAGAACTTAAATATTTTAATATATGATTTTTAATATTGCAAGATGTTAATTCGTTCTATTGACCAATTGCGCGTGTCGAGTATAAAACGCTCATATACAGCTATGGTTTCATGTTTTGTGCTTAAATAAAGGAATGGAAATGTTGCCTTATTCGATCACATAGACATTTCATAGCAAAATCAAAACAATACCCAGCATACAGATGTCAACCCGCATTTAAGGAGAGATGCCTTCGCGCAGGCTTAAACTATATATGAATTACAAATTAGAAAATATGTGGTGACAAATTTATGAGATGTGAATAAATAACAGATTACGAGCTGTAGATGAAAGGCAATCGTAACATTAAGGCCACGTGCAGGAGTAGCACACAGTTTGAATATGAGATATATTTCCTGTTTATTGCAAAGTAATGGATCGAATACAAGGGACTTTCATCTTATAGAAAAGCAGTGATTGGCGCTATTCTTTGTTTGCAATGACGCAATTTTCAGATTTCAGTTGACGGGCCGGTATAACCAAAAACGACTATTTTAATGTATTGATCGAGTTTAGAGACAGCCTAAGACTCAAAAGATGAATTACCGCGTTCAGTTTTTCATGCTACAACCATTCTGATAGGAGAAAAATCGTCCACAAGTTGTTTGATTGCCCGTCATTGGGATGAAAAGTCACGTGATTACAAACAAAGAATTGAAGAGCCTGGCAATAAGTGTGTTGTATAAAACTAGCTGACTAGCAACATTTCGTCCAGAAATCTTCCATGAGATTTATAAAACTTCCAATGGGAAAATAAGAATAATGTTGTAGCATGTTTGATTTTGAAATTAACCAATCGTTTCAATCTGTTATAAACCATACGAAATATATAGTTATTCAATTATTGTACAAAAGAGTTGACGCATGTTATGATTGTTTCAGTTTTCAAACCCAAGCAACAGATTGTAAATATGGGCTGTAGTACCATGTCAAAATATACAAGTTCATGTTCCACTTTTGTCTCGTTTCAGCTAGTCTATTTTTGAAAAGCGTAAAGAATTATCTTTTCAATTGTTCACATCGTCCTCCACAAAGTTTGAACGTTTCTGATCGTAGAATGAAGACCTTATTTCATATTGCACAAATTATTTAATCATTTTCTAGTGAAAAGAGAACTGTAACAACGTCCGACCTTAGTACTTGTTTAGGTAATGTTATAGCTACGTTATTTATGTTTCCGTTTCGAGTGAGTGCCTGTAAAAATGTAAAAAGGTTTTGTTATCCGCATTAATAAGTGTTCGAACATATCTAGAATTTGACAATTGTTTTCTAATTTATTTTCAAGCGTTCACCAATGGCGTATAGAATGGAAAACGGTGAACAAGGTTACGATGACAGAGTTTTGAAGGTCGAGTCAGAGAAGATCTTTTCTGTTCTATTTGTCAAGGAGTGCTCAGAAATCCACGAACTTGCCGGAATAAAGAACATCCATTTTGTCTTTCTTGCATATCTCAACATCTTCGTAATTCCCACAGATGTCCTGAATGCAGAGAACGCCTGACGGCAGAAACCCTCAAAGATCCACCGAGATTTTTAAAGAATACCTTATCAGAGCTGAAAATCAAGTGTGATTACAATGAGCGAGGATGTCCGGGCTACGTCCAGCTTGGAAATTTACAGAGTCATGTTGAGCGATGTGACTTTGCGCCGGTTGCGTGTGGACATGAAGGATGTGAGATGATGGTCAATAAAAAAGATAAAGTAGCCCATGAAAGAGAACTCTGCCTGTTTAGAATGAATTCGCAAGTCTGGAAAGCTATTAAAGCGAGTCAAGATGAAATAAAGTTAAAGATTTTAAAAATGTACAGAAATGTAACGGTGAGACAAAATTTTCTTTGTAGGTTTACGTAGTCATAAGAATAACTGTTTTGCGTATCTATTGTTGGAGAAAAAATTTACAAGATGTTTATTTATTGTTAATATATTAACCATAGTTTGTCAAAGTGTATAAAGTGCCACCTTTTGGGATAATTTTTAACACTAATACTGTCATTCAGGACTGCCAAACTGAAATTAAAGTTCATATTAAAGAAGTGGAAATCAAACAAGATGACATGAAGGTAAAATAAAGATTGTTTAGTTATTCTTTGGAGTTTTGCATGGCGATGAAAATAATATTAGTTTTGTTGATCTACTCTGGGAAGACAT